GTGGGGGGCGGCGTGGGGTGGTGTGAGGGTCGGGGGGGGGGGGGGGTTGGGGATTGCAAAGGCAAGACTGCCCTGAGGGCAGAGAATGAGCCCAGCAACCTTGGGGCTCAGGGCACCTTAGCAATCCCCAACTCCCAACCGTTGGTAAGTGTGTCTCAAGGAGAGAAGTGGGACCTTGTCTGAGGTCACCCAGCTGACCCACGCAGGGCCAGGACCTTGACTTTCAGGAGAGACCAGGCTCTGGAGTCTTGAGGTCCTCTCTGGGTATGGTTCTAAGGAATTAAACATTTCTTCTCTACCTGGCAGACACCCCAGGTCTGAAGAGAGGGAGGGAAAACGTAGGTAGGTATGGTGCATCCTCGCTCCCCCTGGAGAATCAAACAGGCTCTTGTACAAGGATTTTTTTTTTTTTTTCTGCAGCCTGGAGAGGAGGGGGAGAGGGCCGCTCTGTGGGGCAGGGGCAAGGTCTATTCTTAAGGTTTCCCTGAGCAAATGGGAGCAGGAGTAGGGGGATATTAGCTTGACGAGGAGCAGAATTGTGGCTAGAGTTTGGAGGAGGGCTTGGGCTTTGAACCAATGTCTCTCCTGCTACCCTCTTGGCCTGCTTGACCTCCGCTACCTCGCATGGGCACTTGCCCTGGGAGTCTTGTGATGTCTATACATAGGAACAGCTTCTGGGACTGCTGGTCTACCCCCATGCCTGTGTCCTCCCTCAACCCCATTCAAACCTCAGAGCCCCTCAAGGACAGTCTGGAGAGACCACCTCTCTACTTCTCTGCCTGGGCATGGTTCAGTTCACGGCCTCCTGTGTTCTCCATCACGGGGCTCTTGGCCTGGAGTCCCCATAGCCTCCTGCAGCTCCTCCCAATGCGCCTCTCTTGGCTGGGCCTTCCAGGTGAAGCAAAGACTTGGGGTTGGGGAGGTTGAGTGTCCTGTACGGATCCCAGAAGAATCGGTTGTGTGCCTAGCACGGTGTTGAGGGGACAGAAGGCCAGGAATAAAGGATTCATTATTCTGCCCCGGCACGGCGTGAGGCTGGGGACAAAAATCAGAGTATGGGATGAGTTGGACCTGCGGGTCCTGGGTCCAGCTTTCAGCTTCTACTCTGGGATGTTGACGAGCCAGCCATGACACCCCATCCCAACCTACCTCGAGACTCCCGCCACCTCCTCTTCCCTCCACCGCCGCTTTTCTGAATGGAATGCTCATTCGTGATCTCCTTGACTGTTCCCATTGTACAGAAGAGGAAACTGAGGCTCGGAGCAGGAAAGGCATGCCCTTCAGGTCCACCGCCGGGCCTGGAACTTGGATCTGTCTGGCTTCAAAGTCTAGATCCTTGGCCACTTTGCCAAGCTGCCTGGCTTGGGGGTTCAAGCTGCTCACAGATCTCCCTTGCTCATTTTCAAACCCTCTGGGGGATCCCAGATGAGGATCCCTGGCCGCGACCCGCATTCCAGACACCTCCTCTGGCCGGTAAGGTCTTCTGGATCCTCACTGACTACAGAGGCCTCTGGGCAAACTCCTACCTCCAGTGCGTCTCGGACGTGGGGCTCTGCGTGGCCTGTTTCCTTCAATGTCACCACCACTAAAAATAGGAGCCTCACCAGCACGGCTCAGACAAAGAGGCCAACGCGCCCCCCCCCGCCCCGCCCGCGCCCCCCCCGCCCCGCCCCGCTCACAGAATTCTTAAACAATGACAATCACAGAAGCATCGAATCTGGGACGCCCAGAGTCATGGGAGCCTGGGGTCCCAGAACTACAGAAGAGGTACCCGCACTTCCCGGTTACGCCAAGGCTGGTTACTCGCGAACTACGTACTCTCTCCCGAGAAGCTCACATCTATGACTCCCATGTTGTCTAGAGACCCTGCTTCTGGTGGGGGAGGGTCTCCATCCCTTGTCTGCCCTTGTCTGGTCCAAACCTTTCTAGCACACCCCATCCTAACAGCAACCCTTGCCCCCGAGCACAGTTCCAGGCCCATTAGCCTGCCCCAGTGGTTCTGAAATGGGGACGATTCCACCCCCAGGG